CATTTTTCATATTGACACAAGTTTTTCTTCAAAATCTTTGATTTATAAAATATCAAAACTTTACCAGGTCCTTGGATGTTGGTTCTATACGAATAGACTGACTCATGACCAAAGATTTCATCAAAGATACCGGCATCCTGAATGTTAGATCTTGCATTTATATGGGTTGGGCTGCCTCATGACCAAAAGTTTCATCATAGAAGATAATGAGTTTGAATGAATGTAAGGGTGAGTTGGGATAACGGTCAACAAGAGTCCAACACAGTGGTTAAAAAGAGAGATGTTTTTTAATCACAAAAACTTATTCATGTGAAATTGTATATATTGTAATATCCAGAGCAAAAAGTATATCTTGATTGAAGTTTAATGTATTATATGTCATGATGATGGCTGATTGAAATATCGCTTTGAATGTTTTCACAAGTAGATGTTTAATTATATAGTATGATATTACAAAACTGTTGCATATGTGATAATAATTTGTATTAATAATGATTTATTGATTTGCATGTGATAGGTATTTTGTATGCTTCACAACATCTCAATTTAAATGTGTTCACTTTAAATATTCTACTAGTGCGGATGTATGGTGAATTGGGTATTTTCTTAAAATATGGGAAGAGCCATCATTTGAGGCAAAAAAATGGGACTTGGGAAATTCAGAAAGGAAGATATTGAATTGAGAAGGGTTTAGTTTTTTTTATTTTGTTTCGAAAAGAGCCATTCTGAGTATGAAGAACAACAAAGTGGGCCCGAAAAACTAAAATCCTATTTTTCTTGAAAGTGTTCCAACTTTTTAATATGTACTCTAATTTTTATAAACAAACATATCAAATTCATTATTCTAACTTTGCATATGACACTAACTTATATTCCACATATAGAGTTTTAAAAAAAATTAAGCTTCAACTACAAGAGGGTTTTAGCCCAAATTTTTTTATTGAATCAATTCAAGCGCTAAAAATTAAGATCTCATCATTAAAATGAATGAAACATGTAAAAAATATTTTTGCAATAAGATCTTGATTTTAGCACTTCAACTTTACAAAAAAATTTGGGTCTTAAAACTGCATGTTGTAAAAATTTCTATTTTTTCTTTTTAAAATTTATTTAAGCAATATTGATGTCATATGAAATATCATACGAAGTAAAAATTATGAATTTTAATATATTTTTTTAAAAATTGAGCATAAATAAAAAAGATTCAACATTTTAATAAGAACTGAATTTTTTATATTTTGGTTTCCCCCACACAATGGTAGCTACTCAGTTCTTTTGGAATAGGCCTTTCCAAATGGTCCCATATTTTTTTTCTAAATCCAATTCCACTCGGAATAATATATGTTTTCCGACTCCCGAGTTTTCAGACAATGAGGCAAAGTCTTGTGTCTTTTTTGTGGAGGAAGCGGTCCAGCTCAGTTGGTCTCTGACTCACTATCCCTTATGAAAGATCTCGAGTTCAATACTCAATGGAGTGAGATTGATCCTAGTTGACCTCCAAGCCCCCCGACCCCCTGGGTGAAAGTTTTGTGTTTTTGCATAGGAGTTTCAAAAGTCGTGTCTTTTTGGAATTTCCTTGAATTTATTATTTATGTAATTTGAAAGTGATGGATCCCGTGAAGTTTTGGATTATGCGTAAACTTTGATGCACCTAATGATTTATGTTTTTAAATTTGATGTTAAACTTTTGTTTATTTTTAAACTAGTGAAAGAGTGACATTGACATGATGGATTACTTGCCCGGGTAGGAATGAAATTCTACCGAACTATTTTATTATTATAGAAGCAAATAGTACTCTTAAATAATCAAGATGTGCCTCAAAAAAATAACGGATCATCTCGGAAAAACCATACCTAACCTTAATAAGAACAATATTCCATTTTTTATTGCTTCTAATAATTATTATACATATACATATTGCACTCCCGTGCAAAGAACAGGTGTAGTGACTAGTTACTTATATGTGTGTGTGTGTGTGTGTATATATATATATATATATATATATATATATATATATATATATTTCCGGCTTGTGCACTTTTTATTTTGTACTGTATTGCACTTTTGTGCTCTAAGTGTGCACTTTTTCACTATTCTGAATTCTGATGCACATTTGTCACAATATTTTCAATAAAAGTTCTCCATAATTACAATAATGCCACCGCATTTAATTTCCAACTTAAAAATCGATCTCTTTCATCCATTTTTTCACATCAATGGCCAACATTAGTTCTTATTTTTCACCTAGGAAATACTTTTTATTTGAACCAAACTCTCTCTCTCTCTCTCTCTCTCTCTACATATATATATATATATATATATATATATATATATATATATATATATAATATGGCACGTGCATTGAGAGAACTCTTTTTGTCAGGCCGGCCTGGCGGGAACCTCCGTCCGGCCGAGCCCATTTGGGCACATTCCCGGTAGAATTTTTTGATGAAATTTTCTGAGCATGTTCTTCATCAAGTTTAGTTTATCTATACCAAATTTCAGCTAAAAATTCAATCGGGAAGACAGTCAAATGATTTTTTGAAAAATACTACGTTGTTTATATATATTAAATGCGCAGTGTTCGTAAATAATTTATTTGACTGCCTTCACGATTGAATTTTTAGCTGAAATTTGGTATGAATAAACTAGACTTGATGAAGAACATGCTCCAAAATTTTCATCAAAAAATTCAATCGGGAAGATCGCCAAAAGGGCTCGGCCGGACGGCTGTCCCGATCAGACCGGTCTGACATGATGATTTCTCTGCGCATTAATATATCATTTTATAATAAACACAATACTAATGTAAAATGGGAATACCATGCTTATGAAATGTGTATTTTATTTATATACTCCATCTGTCCCATTTTAGTTAGCCAAATTTGACTTTTCACAATATTATCTAACTTTGACCGGTTTTATATTTATATAAAGAAATATTGATAATATGAAAATGATATGAAAATGTTATTTTTTAAAAATACTATAATAAAAGTATAAAATTATTAAATTTTGCATAGATATATTAGTTAAAAATAATTTATCGAAGTTTACCATCTTCGACTGAAAGAGACAAAGATGACTAACTAAAATGGGACGAAGGTAGTACTAGTTTTAAAATGAGCATAGTATAAATAGGAGATAATTACATTACATATATGTGACTAAAATACTTGTTGTTTCCAATAATGTGACTTCCTATGTGTAGTACCGTAATAGTAATATGGTCACAATAACTTACGTTCAATTTTACACCTAAGTGACTATGAGACTATATTATAGTAATTATTAATTGTAATGAAATTTCATTTCAATACGGAGTAATCTTTTTTAAACAACCTTTATAAATAGCTATTGAGGGTGCACTATATACTCCGTATGTTACTAAACAAGCATGAAAAAAAGGAAAATTTACCCAATACAAGTAAAAACTTTGGGAATGTTGCATAGGAGCACTACATTTTCTCTATTTAAAAAATTTCTCTAGTTAATAGGAGTAGATAATTTATCTTTTTAAATATTTATTACGAGTATCATATTTCGACATTATCAAATTTTAAACATGATTATATTCTACCATATTTAATGATGTTTTTCAAAATTGAGTATACTTGAGAGAAAAATATGACACTCATCCTATATCCTAGAGTGGGGCATATCGCATTTCAATTCAATTTGAAATGAAAGGAAAGAACAAAAAATCCCTTTTGTACACGATTTCACTGTATACATGTTTTTACATGTGTCCGTAAGGATAATTTTTTGTCTATGAAAACACTGTTCACTGACAAAACATTTTCACACGTTTTTACACATATTTTGTCTATGAACAATGTTTTCATAAACAAAAATTTGTCCTCACCAACAAATGTAAAAACGTGTAATTGGTGTAAACAATAAAAAAAAGTGTGGATCAAGAATTTCCCACGAAAGAATGACTACTAAACAAAAATCAACCATGCTAGGGGTACACAAGTTGTACACAACTTGTACACAAAATGTCGGTCACAGACAATTGGTACGGAATTGTTTGTGGTCACAGACAAGAGTTGTCTGTGTATACAAACAACTTTTGTTTGTGTCCACAAACATTTACTTTTTTTAAAAAGTACGCTGACAGCTGCCTAACACTGACATCAGCTTGCAAATCAATCAATATATGTGCAGTGCCTGTGTGCACAGACAATATTTTCATGTTGCACAAACAATTATTTGTCTGTGTGCACAGACAACTTTTACCACATAGACAATAGTTGTGCGTTCCACAGACAATAGTTGTCTGTGTGATCAACTTTAGTTGTCTGTGTGATCAATTTTAATTGTCTGGGTGAACAAAAACTCAATTTTCTATATACATCCAAATGAAGGATGTAGTTGGATGTGTAATCAATTTACATTAATTTGAATAAAATTAGAAACATAATAAAAAAATATGAAATAAGATGAATAAGTTGATATTGTGCAAATAATGAAAAAAATTGTTAAGTAAAGGTAGAGAAAAAGAGGATGAAGAAGGAAAGATGAGGATGAAGAAGATAATTTTTGTTGTTGTTGAGAATTTTAGAAGAGATTGGGTAAAGAGGAAAGAGAGAAGGGGGAGAGGAAGAAGAGAGAAGGAAGAGAGAACCGAGAGAGGAGAAGAGGGATGAAGAAATGAGATTTTTTTTTTGCTTTTAAACCATGTACAACTTGTGTACATGGTGTGTATACTTAGCATTTTCCAACAAAAATTATACGAAGTACGTAGTACTATCATTCGGTAAACTAGAAAGAGAAATGCTAGAGGTACACACTTTGTGTACACATTTTGTGTACACTCGTCTGTCTCTTAAGAAAATTTTGTCTGTCACAGACAACTCATATATATGTACACAATTTTCTTAAGAGACAGACGAGTGTACACAAAATGTGTACACAAAGTGTGTACCTCTAGCATTTTTGAAACTAGAAAATGACCTGTTAACATTTTAAAAACGAGATGGCCTGCGGAGATATCCATGCGCGTTTAGCAAACCAGTAATCGAAGTGGGCCTCCAACACAGTCCACTGTCCACAGCCCATAGTCCGCTTGTCTCTCTTCCCCTCTGGTTTTGCTCTGTGCTCAAGCGACTCTCCCCCCATATGTAGACTCCATTGACAACAGTCAAACTTCCGACAAACAAAAGTGGAGACCTTAGTTCTCTTGAGGTACGTGCTGGCGACTACGTTCCGTTCTTCATATTTTTGCTTGAGACTTGGTGGATTGCTTTTGTACGGTCTGCTGGTTGTGTTTCTCAACGAGGTTTTAAGGATTGGATTGGATTTTGATTGGAGTTTTCCACGGAAGTCAGGGGGAGTTTGATTTTGTAGTCCCCGCCGTTGGGGGATTGGGGGGAGATGTCGAGTTTTCAGGGGGTTCTCGTCTCTGATCAATGGCTTCAAAGTCAGTTCACGCAAGTTGAGCTTCGCAGCCTCAAATCCAAAGTAAACCTCTTCTGCTTTTGCCTCCCATTGCATGATTGTGTTTTTTGTTGTTGGAATTTGGATTTGAATAAGAAGAATATTAATAGTTAGAATCCTTCTTTTCAGTTCATATCTGCGAAGAATCAGAAAGGCAAAGTAACAGTGGACGACTTGCCGCCTTTAATGGCGAAACTGAAGGCATTCAGTGATATCTTCAATGAGGAGGAGATTAGGAATATGTTGGGAGAATCTAGTTCTGAAGAGATCGATTTTGAAGGCTTCCTAAGGGTGAGTGCTTAGCATGTTCCTCTTCTTTTAACATTTTAGCCTGTTCTCATACTGTTTTAGTTGTGAAATTTGAATTCTGGATATTCGAACTTTAGTTCAATCTAATGGGAAGAAGCCAGTGGGATTGAACTACTTCTGTTTGGAACTTAGGATTCCATAAAAAGGAAATTAATGAGTATAGTTGTCACCATCCTTTTCTTCTCCTGAATGTTGTAATTACGTATGGTTTTTCTACTCATTTTCTCTGCAGACATACATGAATTTGCAAACCCTAACTGCAACAAAATCTGGTAGTTCAGGAAGCCCTTCCTCATTTCTCAAGGACACCACAACTACTCTACTTCACACAATCAGCGAATCAGAGAAGTCATCATATGTCGCTCATATTAACAGCTATCTCAGAGATGACCCGTTCTTAAAGCACTTTCTTCCTGTAGATCCAGGTTCCAATGAGCTGTTTGATCTTGCAAAAGATGGAGTTCTCTTATGGTATAATACTCTGGAACGTTTATGATACTCCAAGATTGTAGCCTATCAATACAGAGCTGAATGTATTTACTTGATGAAATGACCCCTTTGTTTTTTCAACAGTAAGCTGATCAATGTTGCTGTACCTGGTACAATAGATGAAAGGGCAATTAATATGAAAAGAGTACTCAATCCATGGGAAAGAAACGAGAATCATACCCTTTGCCTCAATTCTGCAAAGGCTATTGGATGCACTGTTGTGAATATAGGCAATCAGGACCTGGTTGAAGGAAGAGTGAGTTATAAGTTTTGATCTTGAGCTTATGTTTGTAATATATGTCTCTGGATTGACAATGTCATTTCAAAATTTTGCAGCCTCATTTGGTTCTGGGGTTGATTTCTCAAATCATAAAGGTAGGTATTTAGATTTGACTTTTAGTCTTTATTTATAGGAAATTTATGGTAGCTTGCTGGCGGAAGATCTGTACATTTATAATTTCAGTTTATCCCAATAAGAACAGATTGATTATTTGATAAGTTTATCTTTTTCCATTTATTTTCAGATCCAACTATTGGCTGATCTCAACCTCAGGAAGACCCCTCAGCTTGTAGAACTAGTGGAGGACAACAATGTACAAGAAGATTATGTTGTTTGCTTTCATTCCCACATATATTTGTTTCTTTGATATAAACTTCTGGTCAATTGCAGGACGTTGAGGAGCTTTTGGGATTAGCCCCAGAGAAGGTTTTACTGAAATGGATGAATTTTCATCTAAAAAAAGGTGGCTATAAAAAGCCTGTAACCAATTTTTCATCAGACTTGAAGGTAAAATTCTTGCATTTAGGAATGTTAAGCCACTGAATGGAAGCTTTCTCCTTCGTGCAGCGGGCAACAAGACTTGTAGCATATTCTAACTTGGATTTTTATGTGTATGTGATAACTTTATAGGAATAGACGATGATAATAATCTCGTGGTCGGTCTGTTATAAATAATCCCGACTTTGAGTTATTTCAAAATAATCCCAATTATTGCTACTATTCCCTGAAGTTATCCAAAATGCTCCAAATTGTCCCAGTTTAAAAAATTACTGTGGGTCATTCTTCCCTCCAAAGTTCATCAATCCCAGATGATAACTATTTACAGTTTGAGGCAGAATGACATAGACTCAAGTGACCCTCTAATAGTAAGCATGGCTGGGATCAGGTTGGTGCTCTGTCAATGCTTGTTGAACTCCTCTTAATTTTAAAAAGGCAGTACGCTGGGGCTCACATCGGTTTATCTTGCAAGGAAGTGTGAATCTTATGGATTTGAAAGTCTGAAACTCATTTCCATCACCCACCAGAACATCTACCTCCATCAATAACCGGCTATTACTCCTTAAACAAGTCATGGGGGGTATTGTGAAGATTGATCAAATAATTGGGGTTATTTTGAAAGAACTCGTGCATGATATATTTAAAGCAGACCGGCCAAAGTCGGATTATTGTCAATTGTCCTAAAGTTTTCCTAATTTATATAAGAAATTTTCGCACTATAGAAGGTCCTGTTTTTTTTTAAAAATTGATAGTTCATCATCTACCAACTATACTATTATGTGCATCTATCTCAAGCCTCAACTCATCATTATCATGTGAATTTCTTCATTCAAGTGCAAAAAAAATGATGACTGTTTGGAGTTTCTTATCATGATTCACACTTCAGAAGTTTGCAACAAAAAGAGCAACTTGTGGTGAATTTTGCCACTGTATATTTTATTTGATGAATTGATATTTTATTAGTATTACCGGCTACTAATCTTTGACAATTGATATTATGAATTTCATGCAACTGAACCCGATGTAGTTGGGAACAAGGGGGTGACGACATGATAAGGAAGAAATTTACTCTTCTGTCACAAAGAAGCGCATGGCAAAAAATAGAAAAGAACCTTTAACTGTGTGAATGATAAAACATTTGTGATAAACTCATCATCTGAAACGGAAGAAGGCTGGATTAGCCTTCTCAGCTTCTCTGGAGTGCAGCAGAAACAAAAATGTGTGATTGTACTTGAGCATTCTCAGGGAAACTGAGGCGGTATTTTATGTCCTTGGTTTTATGTCTTGCTTTCTTTAAAAATTACAGTTTTTTCTTGTGCTGCAGGATGGAGAGGCATACACTTACCTCCTTAATGTACTTGCGCCCGAGTATTGTAATCCAGCAACCTTGGATATTAAAGATCCCGCTGAAAGGGCAAATCTGGTCCTTGATCATGCAGAAAAGATGGACTGCAAAAGATATTTGTCTCCAAAGGATATTGTTGAAGGCTCAGCCAATTTGAATCTTGCTTTTGTTGCCCAAATCTTCCATCAGAGGCGTGAACCTAATGTTTATTCATTCTTAATTGCTTTTTATCAAATGAAAGAAAACACATATCAAGAAAAAAACATTTTTTTACAGGAATGGACTGTCTACTGACAACAAGAAGATTTCCTTCGCGGAGATGATGACAGACGATGAACTAATTTCCCGTGAAGAAAGATGTTTCCGGCTTTGGATCAATAGTCTCGGCATCACCTCTTACGTCAACAATTTATTTGAGGATGTCAAAAATGGGTGAGCAGTAGCGAAGCATATTAGCACTTGGGAGACTAAAAAATATAAATACAGCAAATATCTTCTAAAAGTTTCAGACTTTCTGTTATTTATGTATTGCTCCATCATCCCTTACTAAATTACACTGACTTTTCTATCCAAATTCATCAGCAATTAGCATTGACCATCAGTTTTCATATATTTTATTTTTTTCAATATGAAAATATTCACGAACAATCTCTTAACTTATATCTTTGAAATATGAATTTATTGTTTTATTGTCAAAGATGAACTCTGAAGGCCCCTACATTAAAACTGTTATACAAAGGGGGTGTTACGATTTTGTTCGACATTTTCGTAGCTTAGCTTGACCTTTTTGACCCGTGAAGTCAACCCTTGAAAAACTTCTTTCTGCTTGTATCACATTTTTTTAGATGGGTACTTCTGGAGGCACTGGACAAGGTTTCTCCTGGATCCGTTAATTGGAAACATGCAACGAAACCTCCTATTAAGATGCCGTTTAGGAAAGTAGAGAATTGCAACCAAGTTGTCAAGATTGGGAAACAGTTGAAACTCTCCTTGGTGAATGTAGGTGGAAGTGACTTTGTTCAGGGGAATAAAAAACTTACACTTGGTAATATGTTCATTTAATTCGGTATTATTTCACATGTAGTCTTCATGTCCTTTTTCTTGGCCAAATCTCTTAGTATTTCTATTTCACTGTTTTTATATCTAAGTTACTGTTCCTACTCTTCTCCCAGCATTCTTGTGGCAGTTAATGAGGTTTAACATACTCCAACTCTTGAAGAACTTGAGATCACGTTTTCAAGGAAAGGAGATAAGTGACATTGATATCCTGAACTGGGCAAACAAAAAAGTGAAAAGCACAGGAAGGACGTCTAAAATGGAGAGCTTTAAGGTTCATTAGAAGAAGTGTTTTTTTTTTGAAGTATCATTATGCTTACACTATGGTTGCCTGATTAATGGTGATTTTGGAATGGTTATTTAGGATAAAAGCCTTTCAAGTGGGCTTTTTTTTCTTGATCTTCTCAGTGCAGTGGAGCCCCGGGTTGTTAACTGGAACCTTGTTTCGAAGGGTGAAAGCGGTACTAATTCCTATCTAATTGAAAACAATAGCTTTAATTTGCAGTATAGAGTTTACCACAATTCACAAGCTTTTCATGCATACTGTTTTAGGCCGTGTATGGTCGAGCGGCGGAAAAGCTACTTTTGAGCAAACGTGCTTTGAACAAGTTTTTTTTACGCAACAATAGATACTTTTGAGCACTTGCTAGATTTTTAAACTTAGGCAGAGTGATGTTCTTTGAGAATAGATACTTTCTTAGGAAAGAGTGTTTTGGCAGTTTAGAAAAGCTCGGAGTTGAAGCTTTTGAAAGTAGAACCTTCTGCTTTTATATCCCAAAAAGTGCTTTCAGAAATGGAATCTAATATTTCGGTCAGTGCTCAGATATCTTACATGTTCCATGACTGCCAATAAATTGTGGTTTTTACTTTTTAAGGCTATAAGTTTTTTTCTAGGCATTAAAAATAGGAAGACAGAAGTTAAATAAATGTGAGAGTAGAACTTGGTCATTTTATAATGCTTAATTGGTATTATGCTAAGTGGACATTTGGTGGTGAACAAATGTTTTTTTACTTAATGGACACTTGGTTGAAATAGTTCCATCATTTCCAATGGAGTCAAGACTATATATTTTTTTGGCTTGGGAATATGATGAAGTGAAGCAAAATGGCTCACTAAACAATCTGTAAGCTTTAGTGCATGGGTAAGGCTGCATACATACGACCTCCCCCCATTACCCCACCGCATGTGAGACCATTTGCGGCACTGGGGTAATGTTGTTGTTGTTGTTTGGACACTTGGTTGAGTTCATCTCCAACCTGTACTGCCAATTTGTTATCTTTGTAGTTATGAAATTTTGTCCTGATAAAGTAAGGATATTCACAATGAGGAGAATATTTATATTTTATATATTTTTCAAATTGCAGATGATGAAAAGAAGTTAAATGCTACTTATATCATCAGTGTTGCTCGAAAACTTGGATGCTCAATATTTTTGCTGCCCGAGGATATCATCGGGGTGAGGGCATTGTGGCTGTAGCTCTAGTTGTTTGTACAGATAATTTTTATTTATATGTTTATCTGGGCAAATAATAGAACACCCTCATTATAAGCCCAAATTATTGAGCCTCTCTATGTGTGGTGTTATGACTGACAGGTCAACCAAAAGATGATATTGACACTCACAGCCAGCATTATGTACTGGAGCCTTCAGCAACCAGTGAGTGATACAGAGTCATCTCCATCTCCTTCTGTAGTGCTTTCTCCTGATTCCTCCCCAGCACCATCAATCAATGGTGAAGATGAAAGCTCACTTGGTGGAGTGTCAAATCTAACCATCGAGGATGCTGCTTCATATTCGCATGTTGAAGGTGAAGACAGTGAATCACAAGAGGTTTCATCTTCACTTGTTGAGAATAGGGATAGTATCGAATTACAGGAGGAAGTGTCCTCATCCCATGTTGGGAAAGAAGATTCACAGGCAAACAGTGAACCGTGATACATATTTACACTGCGGAAAGTCGATTTGAAATTGAGTTGGAGGAGAAAACAACAAAGGAAAAAATAATAAACATATGAAGTGAAAAAAGATAGAAAAAATGTTGTAAAGTTTCAAGCAATCTCCCTGAATAGTGTGTATATCTGTATTCATACACAGCAGATTCTAAAATGTCACCTTGTTAATCAATGATTCTCAGTTTTGCTAAGTGATTGTATTCTGTTGAAAAAAAAAAAATGCTCTCATCATGTAGATGCATTCCTGGTTTTTGTCTTTTCCGTAAATTTCTCATATACGCCACTGTAGTGAATAGTAAGTGCAGTCTTTGGTTTGTTGAACTACTTTGGATGATTTCATCTTACAAACGGTTTCCCACTTGCCCCCTTGATTGATACTCTTAGTGCTGGACTCGGGCCGGGCGGCCCGGCCCGGAACCGGCCCGGCCCGGAACCGGCCCGGCCCGGAACCGGCCCGGCCCGGAACCGGCCCGGCCCGGTTACTGTTTGGCCCGGCCTGGCCCGGTGGGTCCCTCGGTTCGGTTCGGCCCGGCCCGGCTGCTGGGCGGTTCGGGCCCGGGCCCAGGTTTTGGTGAACCGGCCCGGCCGGTTCGGCCCGGTCCGGGCCGGATTTTATTTTATTTTTTTTTTTGATTTTTTTTAAGTTTTAGGTTGGATTAGGTATTTTGGGCCATTTGAGGTGGTTTGGGATGGTTTGGGGTTGAGGGGGAGGGGTAGGGGATTAAATAGGAGAACAAAAAAAAAAAATTATTGGGCCGGTTCGGCCCGGCCCGGCCCGGCCCGGTTTGGCCCGGAACCGGGACCGGAACCGGCCACCGGCGGTTCGGGCTCGGGCCTCCCTTTCCTGGCTCGAGGCCCGGCCGGGCCCAGGCCTGAACCGGGCCCGAACCGGCCCGAGTCCAGGCATAGATACTCTATCCAATTTTTGAAGACGTGGAACACAAAGACCCTGTCCTATGCTGGTAAACTGGAGCTAATTATATCGATAATCCAAGGGGTCCAATCTTTTTGGCTCCAAGTCTTCCCGGTCTCCTAAACTATCTTGGATAGGATTGTTTCTATTTGTCGAATTTTTCTATGGGGTGGGAAATATTCTAAAGTGGCTTGGGACTACATATGTCTACCAAAAGAGGAGGGGGGCCTTGGAATTCATAGTGCCAAGGTTTGGAACCATGCTCTCCTCTCTCGTTCATAGGAAAAAGGACACCCTTTGGGTGAGGTGGGTCAATGGGGTTTACCTTAATGGTAGGAGTGTGTGGGATTTTATCCCACACAACCGTGACTCGATGTTCATGAAGAAATTGAGTCACATCTGAGACCAAATTTTGGGTTGCTTTAATAATTTGAATGATACCATTATGGGCCTAAATACTAGATTCGTTAATGGTAAATTCCTTTCTCGAAAGACTTGTGAGTTGTTGAGAACTAAAGGGACGCCGAGAGTATGAATGAGCTTTATTTGGAAGTCTTATATCCCCCCAAAGTTCTCATTCAATGTTTGACTTGCTTTGAGGAACCGGTTACCTACACAGGATAACCTAGGTTACCTACATATTGTTAATCGTTGTGACCTTTGCAAGGGTGGATTGGAAACAATGTCACACCTATTTTTTCGTTGTCATTACACTTGTAGGGTCTGGGAAAAAATAAAGGAATTGTTGGGCATGACACGAGAGATGACCACGCTTAGCAGCTCGATCAAATGGATCCTGAAGGGCCACAAAGGATCAAAGATCAAAGGGAAGGCTGTCCAGATTGCTTTTTGCGCCGCGGTTTACTACCTTTGGCACGCTAGGAATGCCAATCGATTTGATGAAGAGGACGTCAAGGAAGAGGAGATCATCGCAAAAGTCAAGCATGTGGTGTATAAAATACTTTTCAATTTATACCCGCACGACTTGATTACATTTTGAGTAGAAGGCCACGACATGGATATTATGGATGCCACAGTTTTGGACAGACTGCTACATGATTGTTTGGTGCGTCGAGGCATGGTTGGATGTCGCGGCTTGGGCACCCAGGACACCGCGGTATGGAAATCATGGATGCTGCGACATCAATGCCGGCTCCAGCAGTTTGGAGGCCCAAGGCGAAAAACGTTTAGTACCACCTCCGTATCATAATATGTGACTGAGTATGTTTTTTCCATAATTTAAAATTACGAGTTTTTAGGTACTATAGTTGACTACTATTGTTTTATTTTATTAAAAAGGCTTTTGGGATGTTTTTTTTTTCAAAAATAGAAGTTTGACACTTATTTTAAACAATCCAAAAAAGAAAGTGTGATACTTATTTTGATACATATCATATTAATGTGATTTATATAACACATACTCATAAAAATAAGATAAAATAGTAATTCAACATCAGCATTGTCATTGCCAACAATTTTCAGGAAGAAAAAATTGTCTATACAATCGATCAATAGAGTCGGTAAACAATTTAATAACCACATCTCTTTTCAACTTATTGTTTCTCTTTATATATTCCTACATATTTAGTATATTTATAGATAATAATTAAAAAAGGAAAAAAAGATAATAATTAATAGAAAAACCATTAACAAAAAATAAAAAAAAATAACAATTCCAATTGCAATTATAAAATATTACTCTGTAGTAGCTAGCTAACTAACTAAACGCCCAATTTCAATTATTTTTTTAGTTATTAACCAAAAAACTTTCAAAAAATGTTATCAGTTCAATAAAAAAGGAGCATATAATGATAAAAGATAATACTCCATATGCGGTTTGTGGACAGTAAGCCTGAAACGCAGACCGCACTATCAATTCATTAAATAAGGTGAAACAGTTTAGGTTTGACCAAAAAGTTTTTCGTCAAACTCCAGAACCAATTCCGAACAACTAAATTTAAAACTTACTCCATAGCTTAATTAATTTTTGTTTTGAGGCCCCAATAAAAAAGTGAGGCCCTAGGCAAGTGCCTAGGTGAAATGGCCTTATGGCCGGCTCGGTGCGGCATGAAGCATGGTCTTGGATTTTAGGGTGTGTGCATCTTGCAACACCTTTGTACTTTGTTTAGAATTTTAGCTTCTAAACTGTGTGCGTGCATGTGCAGCACCGATGTATGTTTGAACCTCTTGATGGGCCAAGTATAATACTTGGTTATTTTGGCATAGATTAGATCGAATAAAAACCTCCTTTCACCCTCATATTATGTGGGGGTGGGGGAGGTTTTAGGAGATCTAGATATGAGATGTATAGTTTTCTGGATGTTAATATATATTTACATTTCATCAAAAAAAATCTTACAAACGGTTTGTTTTCTTGTCATTTCTCCAAGTGGATTGTGTTGTACGGAGTACCATGTTGTCATGTTCTTCTCCGATAATAAGTGGAGTACTTTTATCCCCTACACCACCGTACTTAAATTTTGTACCTGACCTTCTTCCGTCCCATTTTATACTACTCCCTCTTGCCAAAAAAGTCTTCCCACTTTATTTTTCCGTTCGTAACAAAAAAAATTCTCATTTCCAAATCTTCCCATCATACGCTCAATAATTCTAAAAACAATACACTATTACAACTATTTTTTTTGGATTTTTCCTACATTCCATCATATTATTCCACTATCTTCCTATCATACCCTCAATGATTCATACACTCTTTCACTACTCTTAATCTATCTACTTTTGAAATGAGAAGGTTTTAAAGATACGGAGGTATATCAAATTTTGTGTTAATTGTAAAATAAGAAAAGTAAAAGCGAGAGTTGTGGTTAAGAGAAATAACAAACATAATTATAAATTATTTATTTTAAAGAAATAATGATAAAGTTCTTTAAACAAATGAGGAAGGGAAGTTTACAAAGTTCAAGGAGAAGGAGAGGGGGTGAGTTTCAAATTATTTTCCTCTAGGAACTACAATACTACGTACATATTCTTCGAACTGGTAACTATTTTAAGTGGCCAAATATTACTCCAAATTTTGTCATAACTGTCAAATACTACCGTATAATATGGTAATTGTTACAAACTAATAATTAAAACAAACTTTGTTTATAAAAACATGATTTTTAAGTATGTAGTGACTATAGTAATAACTTAAGTCAAAGTAATTCATGTTGAATTTTAACTTAAGTTTGGCAATTGACTCTTGGCTGATTGGTGATAGCGGATTCTGTGACTATAGTAATAACTTAAGTCAAAGTAATTCATGTTGAATTTTAACTTAAGTTTGGCAATTGACTGTTGGCTGATTGGTGATAGCGGATTCTGTTGGCTGTTTTGATTAACTGATAGTGTTAGCTGTTTATAAAATAGTGTTTGATTAAACGATTGTTTACAATTGGCTGATAACTTGTTAAATTACTTTTAAGGACATCAATGAATTTTTTTGTTAATATTATTAGTACAACTATTTATAAATTAATTTATGATTTAAAAATAAAAATTAATGAAAATAGGTCCGAGGAATAATTATTTTAACTTTTTTTGCTGGATTTGTTATGAGGCACTGCACCAAGAAATATGGAGTGCTTTCACTCCAGATTTTGTTATGGCGAATAATATGCATTAGCTTGAGTTCAGGGGACGCACTTCGTGTGCAATCACCCAGCCTTCAATAGTTCAATGCTCTGCTTTTTTCATTTTTGTCTAAAGGGTAAAATAGGCCCCTGAACCCGCCACAATTGCTCAATTCACTACCTGAACTGAAAAAAGATTCAATTGGAACCCCAAACCCTCCAAAATGTTTCAAAAGTCGAATTTAGTAGGTAAGCTCCCGTTCAAAAGATGAGTC